CATACCTCTGAAACACCGCTAGGTGAGTCTGAATTGCCAAACTTTTGGTCAGTAATACAACACTTACAAGTCCTGTGGCTCCGCAGGATAATGCACTGAACTGCAAAGTCGGCTTGAATTTCAAGTCTGGCAGTTCAAACCCACAAGCCGCTCCTCAGAAACCCTATAGAGGGTCGCTATGAGTCCAAACTGGCACGAAGACATGTAACAATAACAATAACATAGCACTTAACCATCTGTGCTACCTAAGGACTCCTCTGATTCATAAAGATTCTCCAAAGCAAACGCAAAATACTAAGGTAAGTCGCATGTCTGTTTTACCTTTCCACTAGAAAAGTACTGCTTTACAAACTCCAGTGTGAAATCTAGAATGTTCTATCACCACTCATGTCTACAGAGAGTCCTACAAATGGCACATAAGAGGAAATGGCTTTTTCATATCTGTCACCACGTGACCAACAGTGAGAGACTGAACTACCAGCCTTCCTCCTGACTTGGTCTATATGCCTCACTCCTAATAGTATATAAACGTGGGCATGCTTTAACGTGGGTTTCCTCATTTGAAAATCTGTTCACTTCATAACACAAAGCAATGTTTGAAGCACAGGTTTTTCTTGCTTCTCAAAAGTGAGTAATAGATGTGGGAAATAAGTCATTACTTTCCCTTTTTGCATAAAAACATAAATGTTTAACAAATAGATTTTTCTGGAAATGAGAATAAAGTGACATTTTTCTAAAAAAATTGGAAGCGAGGAATTCTCTTGCACCAATGGAGAGGTAACTTCACTGACTTCAGGAAGATGAGTAAAACTAAGATCACAATGGTCGAAATATTGAGAAAGAAGCAAAATAAATTATATAAATATCAGAAAACATAGTCAGGGAGGAAGGCCTGTAATGGGCTGGCTGCTAAAGGACATTTTTCTGCTCATGTCAGCACTAAGTGCTCTTGCGATGCATAAACCATATGTCCATATTCATATACTGCCTTTCACTAAAGTCCTTCCACTTTAATAACATTGCCTTTGTCCGTTTTCTTGCCTCCTCTTCTTCCATTCCCAGCTTGGCTCCGCCATCCCTAACTTCACCTCCTTGGGCAACCAGGATTTATGCCCTAACTACCAACTTGAACATCTGCTAACTTAAAAAAAGAAAGAAAAGAAAGGAAGAAATCACCTCATTGCCAAACATCCTCCAGGGCAAAAAAGTTTGAAGGATTCAGCATCCTCAAAAAACAGCTACAGAAGGGGGGAAAAATGCATATCTTTTCCAGCTCAGTAAATTCTATCTATATGATTAAATGAATAACAGGTTTAAAATTCCTCCATGCAAGCAAATTGCTGTATGTGTAGAAGATGGGTGAACCATGCATTTCATTTTACTTTAGTTTTGCAAGTGTGTGTCCCCTTTTAAATCTATTATCATATAGAACAGATAGACCATATATATAACTCTGAAGAACAAAATGTCAACATTTCTCTTCTTTCTCTTGAGATGGTTTTCTTGTTCTTTCTTTCCCATCCCACAACCTCATCATAAATGAAAGATGAGGGAATCTTTTCACTGAATTAAAGTGTTAAAATACCTTACTTGAATCTAAGCAGAGTCATTTATCCTTTCTATTTTTTAAAACATTCATCTCAACATTGGATTATCAGCTCTCTCCATTTCTCTTGCTTATATCAGCAGACTCTTCCAGCCAGAATTCCCATTGCCATATACCTTTGCCCTGAAGCTTTTACGAGTCCATTTCCTTTATATGTTTGCACTTAATTTGATGCCATCCTTCATGTTTTTTTCATTATTCTTAGTTCATCCACACCACATAAATTATCACCTTTGTTTTCAGTTCCCCAGGTGACCCATTCACACCAATTCCAAATAAATACTCCGATTCTCATCCATTTATTCCAAATTAATTCATATTCCCTCTCCCCATCCTCCATCCTCACTGCTATCTCCCTCTTGTCTGTATCTCTTTCTCATACCACCTGCGTTTCCTGCCATTCTTGTGTCTGAAGAAGGTTTTGCAGGGAAATGTTTGTGATGGATGCAAGACAACCACTTCCTTCTGCTGTATCTCACTGCCAGAAAGCCAGGCTCTATATCAACCCCAGCTTCAATGGACCAATGCATGCATGTCCAGTTTCAACCTCCACTGGTGGCCACGAGCATTACATGTCCATTGGTAAGATGTGGAACGGGGCAGCTTTTTGCTGTTTGGTGATATTTAATTTTGCCTTACTAGCTTACAAAAAAAAAAAAAAAAATTTTTTTTTTCGATCAGCATCACCTAATCATTAGCAACAACAGCAAGAGCTACAACTAATCTTACTATTATATTTATCTTTCTTTCTCTACCGAGTAATTTACATGGATTTCCTCACTTAATCTTCAAATCAATCTCAGAGGTAAGTACACTTATCTCTTTTACAAATGAGGACACGGAAACTCAGAGGAGATAAGTACTTTATCCAAGTCTGCTTCGTGATAGAGCCAGGACTCAACCCCAAGTCCATCTGATTGAAGATCCTGCTCTGAACCATTCTGTTAATGTTGTCTTTCTAATAATGTATGGTGCCTTCAAGAGTAAATCCCCCACTGGGAGGAGTCTTTGCACTTCAGTGGGACCATAAGGCAAGTGGCTGCAGGTGCTGGGTGATCTAATGAGGTCTGCCTTGGTAATCACTCCAAGAAGATAATGTTCAAAAAACAAAGCACCAAATAATGTATCTATCACAACAGCCACCCTCTGACATCTCTGTTGGGAAAAAAACAAAAAAGAAGAGAATTCTCTGGCTCCCCTAAAGAGAATCTCTGCAGTACCAGAACTGTACAGTGTCTTTATTGAGCAGCACACAGCCTGTCTCAACATCATAACCACGAGGTCCACAACCCCAACAGAGTTCAACAGCTTTGCTTCATCCCACTTTCCTGGTTACTGTTGGGGAGCAGGAGATGAGCCATGCACTGAAGCCTGGGAGCACTACCATGTTTTGTCATTGCCCATCAATGTTAGAAACAAAGGAAAAGAAATAAAAATAACTTCCAGGGCATTATCACAGAGGAAAAAGTTAAAAAGAACAGGAAGTGTTAGCTCTGGTGTTTATGGAGAAAACAACTCAAATCCACATTCTGAGAGGAAACTATGAACAGGACTTTGTGCCTGAGACTTAAAAGTACAAAGATGACTATCCATGGACTGACCAAGAGCCACATGGGAAATTCAGTTCGGAATAGAAGAATGCATGCCTAAATCCTGTGTTGGCAAGGAAGCATGTCAAGTGTTCTCCTCCCGTACGAATAACTTTGAGGTTTAACATACTCATTTCTTTAGCTATGTACTATGCACTCTTACTTAGGAATGTTCTTCTGTATCATACAATGCCATTTCATGGGACTCCAGAACATTATAGCTGAAAGGGACCTTAAGAGTCATAATGACAGATGGGGGAAATGAGGCCTAGTGAGAAAAGGACACGCTCAAGGCCGCAGAGCTAGTTAGCCAAATCTGTGGCTGTCAAGTTGATTCCAACTATGGTAACCTCAAGTGTCACAGAGTAAAACTGATTCATAGGGTTTTCTTGGTTGTCATTTTTACAGAAGCAGATCGCCAGACCTTTTCTTCTGCAGAGTCACTAGGTGAGTTTGCACTATCAACATTAAGGTTAGTAGTTGAACACTTAATTATCTGAGATATGTAGTGATCTAGAGCTCAGGTTTTTCTGATTTTCCAGCCCCACCACAAACACCAGCAAGACATACAGTGAGTCTAGAAATGACCTCTCACCAGACACTTCTAGCTCTTTCTCTCAAAAACGCGCTTATTCTAGTAATCACTTCCTTTGGACTGTTCCCTATTCAGTTTGTAATATGCAAGCAGGAAAAAAAGTGTATATGTATACGTACACATAATACAGATAATACACTCTGGGGGCTCATTTAGAACCACCAGTAATGGTAGTTGGTCATTATTGCTAGGATGGATTCCTGGTATGGTGCTGTAGGATCAGCAAGGGACCAGAAACCACAAGGTCAGCAGTTTAAACCCACCAGCTGCTCCTAGAAAACCCTACACAGGGTTGCTATGAGTCAGAATCGACTCAATGGCACTTAACAACAACACTAGGCTAATACCACCAAGAGGAAGAACATGCCGTCACTAAGCTTCAAACTCAGATCAGAGAGCAAAGAACCGTTTCAAAGAAATGTCCAGTCTCCTTCTTTCCCGTGCCAACCCCACTCTTCAAATTTATCTCATTGCTCAAAAGATCAACATGATTCCTTGGAGTTCCCACAGAAGCCTTGAGTAAAATACACAGGCCCCCATCCCTCCCCTCCCCGCTCTTACCACACACACAGCAATGTAATCACTTTAGCAACTTCTCAGTAACAAGCTCATTAAAAAGCAATTCTGCCATCTCTCCATAAAGCACGCGCCAGAGAACAATGCAAAAGAGGAGATGTCAATTAATTATACAATGATCACATCTAATGAACTCTGAAACCCTCCTGCTGTTGGTGACTTTGATGAAAAATCAGGGATGCTGGGAAGAGCTAAGGGACGCCCTAGCTACCTTGTTTAACTGTGAAATCTTTCTAATGTACCACCTTAAAGAGTCCAGTGTTGATCAAAACTGCAGAACTTCATTCATAAAACCATGAGAAGTATCAGGAAAGTGATAAGTCTACGCATCACGTGTGGCGGTGACTCACCATCAGACCCCCTTTCCGTCATCTACATTTGATTCTGCACAGTGATTGGCACTACCTCTGAAGGTATCTCTTAACCAGCAAGTGACAAACCCATGTCCTGAGCTCAGGGCACCTTGAGATCTTAAGGTAACGAGTGAGTTATTCTGTATCCTCCTACGCTTTGACCCTCAGGGACCTCCTGCCTCTCTATCACATTCTAGTCAACATGGATGTCACTTCTCAGAACAAAGAGAAGTTAAACGAGAAAAAAGAAGAAACCACGTGCGGCCAACTTGTACCACTACCTGTGTGAGTCCTCTGGTGGGCCTTTAAGTGGGAGCTTTTTGTATAAACTTTCCGGCACCCGTTAAACTGACAGCGGTGAACCCTCTTCTTGTTTTCGGGGCATGCCTCAGCCCCTACCCCTCCTTGTTCACTGTCGCTCTGTCCACTCTTAACTGCCCCAGCTGCCGCCACGGTTGCTGCTGTGGCTGCCACCCCTCCCACCTTCACTGAGCTGAGTGCAGCCTTCTTGGCCACCAGTTTCAACGTCACTGTGCCATCCACGGCTGAGAGAGTCTGTGAGGTTTTGACCAGATGACGGCTGAGCTCAGGGGACGATGGGGGCGTTAATGAGGTCACTGCGTTGAGCTGGGCCTGGTTGACGGCTGTGTAGCTGTCTAGAGAAGAGCTGGTTGGCTGCAGGCTGAGGCAGGTCTCAGATAGTAACTTGTCCCGAGAGAGCAAAATGTCCACTGCTGAGCTCTTCTCGCAGATGGTGGCTTCCACGGGCAGCAGCAGGGGATCTAAGCGCCGGAAACTCTCCTCGATGCATGGAGGAGGAGAAGCATGGAGGAAACAGTCCAAGTCCTCACCAAAGGTCTCTGAGATCCTCCTGGGCTCCGTCTGTAGGTAGCGTTCCAATTCAAGGCATGTCTGCAGAGGGGAAGGAGGAAGGGAGAGAAACAACTATCAGAGGCAAAGCACACCATGAGATCACATGTTGACTAGTAGATGACGCAGATACACCAAGAATGGTTTCAAGACCGGTCCCAGACAGGCCTCTTGTTAAGAAAGTCTGACCTTGTTTACACTGTAAATACTTCTGGAGGGTTGTTAAGGATTACATTATCTGACTTCTTTGTAAAGTAGAGACCAACAGAAAACAAGGGAAACCCTCAGTGAGATGCATTGACAGAGAGACTCAACGACAAACCAAAACACCACCGATCATGAAGAGGGAACAAATCTACATAGCACTTTCTTCTTGTTATAGGTAAGTTCACCAACAGCATATGATTTTCATTAGTAGAACTGAAGGAGCACTAGAGACCCAGAAAAAGCATCTCACACCAGCAGGATCTCAGATAATATTAAGTGAGGAAATGATGACTTAGTAAGATTCTCCAAGTATCCCTAAGCAAGAAGCAAAAGAGGTTTTTATACCTGAAGTAGACAAGATTTCTCATAGTCCAATTTCATCTTTCAAAATATATGTGAGTAAGTCACAAATTAGCCAATTTTCCAATTTTCTCTGAAGGGCAAAACCATGTCCACTCAAACTAAGAGGTAACCTCAGTCACAGCCAATAGTAAGCCGTGCCTGGGGCACAGATTCCTTAACCAGCAAGCAAGGACACTGTTCTAAAGAATGCCTATTAGAAAAGCTTTTATGTGCAAGACATAACCTCTGTTGATTGCAGCAAGTTATTAAAAATACAATTGCTACATGTTTTGTGGCAAAGGGCATGAATCCTATTACAATGGTTTATGTCTCCGAGCATCTGATAACAAGTTCAAACACAGTCATTTGACCTGTTAAACATACAGCCCAATAGATCTCAGCACAAATTGTTCACCTGGTAAAGCAATAGAAGAGAAACCAAGAGTTTCAACAAATCTTTACACACAGTATTCATGTCCCTGTAAGACGGCAGAAGTGCTTTAGTGACAAAAGGTAGATACTTAAGAATATATTTTGTTTTATCCTAGAAGCTTTCCTCAGTTAAAAATCCTGCTATCCTGAATCTTGTATAAAATTATGCTGCGAACTTGCACCATCAGCTCAATTTGCTCTGTATCCTGGGTTTCAACAAAGAAATACCGACAGCAAATTTAAAATTTGACTAGCTCCTAATTTACTGCCTCCGTAAAGCCTCTATGTTTTCAACAAGTGTTCTGACTCTCGGCTTTTATTCTGTTAACAATATTTTTTAATGATATACCAAGTGATGTTGTATCTGTCAAAGATTTTATTTTGGTGACATTTCAAAAGACTGGTATTTAAGCAGCCTTCTGGTAAATTCTGCATTATTGAATAAGAAAACCAGATTATAACTGAGTCACCTTTGGTCCTCACTGTTGATTTGTAATGGGATGTACTAATGAAGGGTTCCAGTCTTCATTGAACATTCACATCATAGTGTTCATTCAACTAATGTGTTCACAGCGAGGTGCAAGGATCCACAGGTGTCAGAAGGAGGGCATAGAGTGAGAGTTCCATGTAATGAAAGGGAGAACGATAAACACAGCTAAAAATGATATGGATTTAGCAGACAACATGATTCAATCTAAAGAGAAAATGGGTTGTTATATCCTGAGTGGCATGAGCAGACAATGAAGTCCATCCTCTATATTATAGGGCAAGGAGCACTGGTGGTCTTGTGGGTTACATGTTGGACCGCTAACTGCAAAATCAGCAGTTCAAATCTACCAGCCACTCCACAGGAGAAAGATGAAACTTTCTGCTCCCGTAAAGATTTACAGCCTCGGAAATCCTATATAGACAGGGTCACTCTGAGTCAGAATCTACGTGAAGGCACACAGAAACAGCCGCATATTATATAGCCTTCATCAATGAGAGCTTATTGAAAAACAAAAAAAAGTAAGTTTTGATTCCATTATACTTATTTACTAAATAATAGTCCTGGTTCAGTAGCTTCCTACCACTTTATATTAGAAACCAATACTAGCACATGCTTCAGTCCTAGAAATCTACATCTCCTCTCCCTTTTTGTGAATTCCACAGTTCAAAATGGTTCCTTTTCCTTTTCCATCTCATTGCTAGCAATGATCACTTACTTCTCTCCAGTTTTGAAACCTTCAGTACGAGCACCACTGGGTTCACCTCTGAACGCTAAGATTCTACTTTTGCCTGATGCAACTGGAGGAATCCCAGGGATATTTGTAAAGCCTTGAACAGAAACTACCCTCTGAAATTACCTTATAACTAAATAGCAAGTAAGTCCATAAAGTAATGAGTACCATGCTCTTTAAAAAACCCATCTAGATGAGACCAAATGGTCAACAAATGCTCTTAAGCATAAAGGAGAAGACGGGGTGGGGGAGTTGGGAGACTAGATCAATGTGGAAAGAACTAGAGTGGAAATGCTCAGACTATTGAGATAATGTGAACAACAAGACCAATATCACTGAACAATATGTGTTGTTGTTGTTGTTGTCAAGTGCCGTCAAGTTGGTTCCGACCCATAGTGACGCTGGATAGGGTTTCCAAGGAGCAGCTGGTGAGCTTGAACCACCAACCTTGTAGTTCAAATGGCTTTGCAGGCTGGCACATTAACTCACAGTGGGGTTCTGTTGTACTGTGTACTCTTCCACCAAAAATACAATACAATATGCATATAAAAAAGATCCTACTCGTGAAACCGCTGTTGAGCCTCCACTTCCCTTTATAAACTATTGCCTATCAAGCACAGTTGTATCATCAGCATATCGCAGGTTGTTAATGAGTCTTCCACCAATCCTGATGCCATGTTTTTCTTCATAGAACCCAGCTTCTCGTATTATTTGCTCAGCATACAAATTGAACAAGTATGGTGAAAGAACACA